TAGTGATCTTTTACTTTTTTCTTTTTTAAAAAATGTATTTGGTTTGGAGGTCTCACTATGCAGCTCAGACTCATGGTGATCCTCCTATTTTCAGCCTCCCCACCACTGGGATTACAGGCATGCAACACCATGCCCTCTCAGCATGCCTGGGGGCCAGGCCGGTTGGTTAGACATGTGGTGCCAGGGATTGAACTCCAGTCCCTGCATTTGCCTAAGCAAGCGCTTAGACTACTGAGCTATCTTACTGTACTTTATTTCTTATTTGTTCATTTTTGTTTTTTGGGGACAGGGTCTTGTTATCTAATTCAAGATGGGCTTGAACTCAATACACAGCCCAGGATGGCCTCGAACTCACAGCAATCTTTCTGCTTCATCCTCCCAAGTGCTAGGATTACAGGTGTGCACCATCATGGTTGGCCTCTTTTACTTTATCTGAAGATTAGAAACAGTAAGGCAGACAGACCTTTCTGATATAGGTCTAAAGACATGTAAAAGTCTGCCTTTACTGATATTATATACAGGCAGATGCAATGAGATTATGCCACTTCCCCCACCCCCCAGATTTCTATCGTACAGCAACATCCTCATTTTCTGCACACTTATGATGATAACTTTCTTATCAAGGACCAACTATTATTCTGATTCTACACAGGAGGAAACTGAAGTCTAGCAAAGTGACTTTGGTCAAGGACATGCACCTTACACATGGATGCTGGGTTAAACAGTATTTGAATCCAAATTTGTCAGGTCTCACAGGCCTATACTTTCTCAATGGTGTCCAAATGTTTACTGACCAGAATTACATTACCAAAGCAAATAAACTGGGCATGGTGGTGTACACTTATACTCAGCACTGCAGAGGTGGAGGCAGGAGGACTGGCATGACTATGAAGCAAGACTCTGCCTCAAAAGCAAAACAAAACATCAAAGCAAGTAAGAGCTAGAGAAATGATGCTGACCTATTTGACCAACTGAAGTTAAAACCAGCGTACTGTGTAGGAAGCCTAAAGCAAACTGTTGAATACTTAGGAACCAGGTCTTCTGTCTGTAGGAAAATTATACAGCTACATTAAAAAACAACAACAGGGCTGGGGAGATAGCTCAGTAGAATAAGCACTTGCCTGGAAAGTGCCAAGTTCCTGAGTTCAATTCCCTGTACCACAAAAACCAACCAACCAAACAAATAAAAACAACAACAAAAAGCTGAGTGTGGTGGTATATGTCTGTTATCCCAACATTTCTGATGTTAAGGCAGGAGGATTCCTATAAGTTCCTGTGAGCATGGGTTACAAAGTGAATTCAAAGCCAACCTGAACTGCATAGTGAAATGCTGGCTCAAAAACCAAAACCAAAACAAAGTCTTTGGCATGAAACAAACACATATACCAAAAAACCCTGAAGACAAATTAATCCAGATAAGAACTAATTGATAAACTCAATGTTTACCAGAGTATAAATGTTGATGAGAATGTATTCTTTAATGTACATAGCCAATACTATGGGACAGTTAGACACATACATAGAGATCTCTAGCTCCTTTACTAGTCAAATATACAAAAAAGGCATGGTCAAACAAAGAGCTATAATTTCTTGAGCAATTATTCTGTATCTAAACATTGTTTCATTTAATGTTTCAGGAAGAAAAAATAAGAAAAAAGAAAAAGAGGTTTGTCATAATTTTACCAATGAGGAAACTGAGCTTCAAAGTCAGAGCTTCCATGTGGCAGAGCTGAGATTTGAAATGAGATTTATCAGGCCCCCAAATTGTATTCTTAAGCCATTACATAGTTTAATATTCATTAATTTAAATATCTGACCTTAAATATTTACAAGTATTTTGTAAAAATATATCCTGTAAAAACTGTTTAAATCATTTATTTCAGATTGTTTTGTTAAATGTGGTTTTTTTTTGGTATGAGGAAGCAAACTTATGGCCTTGCATTTGTCAGAAAGGCACTGTAGCACTGAGCTATATCCCCAGCCTTAGAGTTTATCAATAATAATGTAATTTTTAAAACTATGGAATTTACTAAAATGTTTATATTGCAAAATACTTGACACAGGGATGACTAATTTCCTATTTTCAGAGAAAAGTAAATTAAAATCACAGTCAGTGATCACTAAAACTCCTGATGAAAAGTAACTGAATACAGAAAGTGCTTACCTGAGCCTTTTCAGTATTGGTAGGATGGAGATGTCGGTCGAATACCTTCTTCACAACATCAAGAAATAGACAAGTAACAACCATAAGGATTATGGCAAACCAAGCAGAACCACTTGATAGGAGCTGAATAAATACAAAATACATATTCTGGGAGCTCAGAAAGGGCCTGTGAAGAAAGACAGCAGGCTACATAAAAATGAAAACTAAAGTGACTTAAGTCAAGACCTCATGAATACTTACTCTATTTCAAAGTGGAATTTTTTTTTTTTTTTTTTTTTTTTTTTTGGCGGAACTGGGGATTGAACTCAGGTCCTTGCGCTTGCCAGGGAAGCGCTTATTCCACTGAGCCATCTCCCCAGCCCTCAAAGTGGAAATTTTAAGAGCACTCCAGAAAAATATTCTTAATTGAAATTAGCATAATTTCACTGAGTGGCTGATAAGGCAAGACAGATAATTAGATAAACATAAAACCCAATTTAACAATTTAATTATTTTTAATAAAAATTGTAATTTTTAATTACAATTAAATTTTAATTTTAATAGGAAAGTGGGGCCAAGGATATAGCTCAGTGGCACAGCACCTGCCTGGCTGGCTCAAGGTCCTGAGTTTGATTTCTGGTAAATAATAATAATAATAATAATAATAATAATAATAATAATAATAGAGGAGGAGGATAGGAAAGTGGCAAACAGTTCACTAGATAGCCCTATCTTAGTGCTAGGACAGCAAAACAATGTAGTGATACTGACTGAAGAGGCTAAGAAAAGGAGTATGTAACAAAATATTTTTTACTGATTTAATTAATTGGTTAAAAACCTGTAAAAGACTGACTGCTCAAATGGTAGCCTGAAAGTGTTACTCAGAGGCTCATGCACTAAAGGTAGCCTGGGCAGCCTCTGCACCTGCCACACAGCTGTGCACACAGCCTGGGATATCCTTTACTACACAGACAGCGAGCTGGGCTCAGTCGTGGGGGCTGTGGGGGCCGGGCCAGGAAGTGAAAGGGCTGAGGTCCTGTCCTTTTCCCACTGCAGAGCTGCTCCTCTGGGGAGGTTTTTACCTCCAACCTTTCTTCCCATCTGATCCCTTCTGTTGGGCGGGGCCTGGGTACGCTGAAGGCAACATCTAAGAGGCTTAGGTCAGCAGTGAGACCTTGCCTGTCTCTCCTCCTGGCCCGGCCCCCTCTCATCTGTGCTCTCAATGTCTGTGTGGTGGCTTCAGCCTATCCTGATGGCAGCTCTACTAACAAAGCAGGAATCGGTGGCAGGATCATGGGGTGCTCCTCAAGGGTCTGTGTGTGAGGTGTGGGTCTAGGGATGGATCAGTACTGCTGGACTAGAAAATGCCCCACAAGAAGATTTGAGAGGTGCTGTCTTGGGCTAGGGATTGAGCTCAGTGTAGAGCATTTGCCTACATCCATGAGGCCCTGGGTTCAATCCCTGTATTCCCCACCTCCCAGAAAGGAGTGGTTTTGTAGAATGGGGTGTATGGGACTTCCTGCAGGGCCCCTGGAGCAGAGGTTGAGGGGTGAGCCTGGGTTGCAGAGAAACCTGTCTGCCCAGGCACCTCAACCTGTGGGCAGCCCCAACCATAGATCTTAGCCTGAGGCCTGCAGCAGTGTTATTTAGGGGGTTTGGGGGTCTGTCACTTCCCAAAACTAGGAGAAATACAGAAGCAGAAAGGAGGGTTATAGACAAGATGCATTTATTTTTTAGATCCTACATGGAAGCAAATGATTAGCTAATCCAAGTTTTTTGCCTGATAAATGCATCAAACAGACAGCAGGCAAATGTAATATAAATTCTCCAAAAACACAGAAGATTTTTTTGAAGGTCCTGCCTTCAAGCTCTTTATTTGGAAAAATGGCAGAAGGATTTTTTTTTGGTGGGGAGGGGAGCTGCTCAGGATGCCTCAGGGCAGGTGTGGTTTGGCTTGAGGATGAGGGGATCGAATCGCAGAATCCTGAGCCTGACTGCTTTGTTTCAGTAGGCACTTAAACACCTGAGCTAATGGGCAGGTCCCCAAATTCTCCAAAAAGAGACATTAGTTGTCTAGCATTTACCAAAAACTCATGGGAGAAACATTTTTTTTTTTTTTTTTTTTTTGCCAGTACTGGGGACTGAACCCAGGACTTTCACAGTAAGCTACACCCCCAACCCAATTGTTTTGTTTTTTTAGACAGGGTCTTGCTATAGTTCAGGTTGGCCTTGGACTCATTATGTAGCTGGTGCTGGTCTTAAGAATTTGCAGTGATCCTCCTGCCTCAGTCTTCCAAGGGCTGGCATAACAGGAATGAGCTAGAGGCCCAGCACTTCCAGCTCCATTCTTTTTTTTTTCTTTTTTCTTTTGCAGAACTGGGGATTGAACCCAGGACCTTACGTCTTATTCTACTGAGCTATTGTCCCAGCCCCATCCATTCTTATTTTTTTATTTTGAACAGGGTCTTGCTGAGTGCTAAACTGCCTGTGCTGGACCAGAACTTTTGTTCTTCACAGCTCAGCCTCCCACTGTGCTGGCATCATAAGCATGTACTATCATGCTTAGCTGAGAAGCACAGATTTTAATCTATCAGAAGCAATTAGGGGGCCTGGCCCTAGCTCAGTTCTTTAAGTGGCTGCTTCCACCAAGCTGTCAGCCTCAGGTGGCTCTAGTTCGATCCCCACAACTCTCCAGCCTGCCAAACAAGCCCTGAGGGCATTCGGAGGAAAAAAAAAAAAAAAAAAAAAAAAAATCCTTATTCCATTTTTTGGAGCCGGGGAGATGGCTCAGTGGAGTAAGCGCTTCCCTGGCAAGCGCAAGGGCCTGAGTTCAATCCCCGGTTCTGCCCAAAAAACCCCCCCAAAAAACAAACAAAAAAAACCACTGCCAACAGAATCAATTAGTATCTGACTTCACTACTGAAGTATACAACAGTTTGAGAGAGAAATGAACTGAACACTCAAAATTTGATGGTCTTATGGACTTTAGTACATATTTAAATAATTTGAATATGGTTACTCTAAAGAATAACGATTATGGTTACTTTTTTAAAAATGTATTCAGTGCAGGGTCTATGGGGTCTCACTACACAGATGGAACTCATAGTGATTCTCCAGTTTTCAGCCTCCCAAGTGCTGGGATTATAGGCATGCACCACCACGTCCAGTCTTGATTACTTTTTAAACTTTGTGATGCTAAGGCTTAGTTTCTACATAGGAAATTTAAGAATAAGATTACAGTGATGAGACAATTATTGTCTTATATAAAATGTCTAGAACGTTTAAAATATTTCTGTAAAATGTAGAGGTATTCATGAAATGTTAAATTTATATAAACTTATTTTTTTCTTCCCTCCCTACACATCAGTAAGATAAATGGAATGAATTTATTAGGATTGGATCTCAAAACTACTCTGTGCAGAATTTGCTCATACATAACCTAATACAAGAAATGTTTACCACAGTTAAATACAAGCCGGTGTGGTAGTACACCCCTGTAATCCCAACATTCAGGAGGCTGAAGCAGGAGAACTGCCATAAATGTTTGAGACCAGGCTGGGCTATACAATGAGTTTAAGGCTAGCCTGGACTACACAGAAAAACAAAACAAAACAAAAATTAAGTAAAATAAAAATAAAATAAAATGTACTCACCAGAGAATCCCACTATAAAATAAAGAAAATATAAAATAAAATATAATAGATCCCCAGGTAACAAGGTGGTTGATCCAAGTCCAAAAATGAGTTTCTAAAGCCATCTAAAAGGAACAAATTTAAAAGTCTTAGAAATATAAAGCAACAAACTTTATTCTGTCAGAAAAAGCTTAACAATAAAACATTAATTATAAAGAATTTAATGAAAAGGCACTAGTAGAAAACTATAATTTCACATTTATAGTATTTTTCTTTTATGAGGAAGCAGCATTGATATCTCAAGGGATGACTATATTTCAGATCCAAAACAAATTGTGTCTGTTGTTTTATATCATACACAGAAAAGCAGAATTTTAGTGATTTTTTTTTAAAAAGCTTAAGCTTCTCAAAATAGTAAGTTTAGAGATTTTTCTGAGAAAAAATTCAAATAAACTATGAAAATAGTAATCTGTAAGTATTCCCTGCTAAAAAAGGAAAAGGGAGAGAATACTCACCTATAGCAAAAGACATGAAGGGAATTAACTATTGATTATACACACAGAAAGCCCATGCATGTTTCTAAGTTTAGCACCGTACCTTCACTGTGACTGTAATAACCATGACTGTGAAGACCAAAGTGCCGAATGTCCAGTTTCCAAACATCTAAACAGAAAAAGCAGGCTATTACACTGTGTGGCAACACGCTAAATCAGATGTAAGGCAAAGTGACTCCATTTCTACTGAAAATCCTTCTTTTCTTGGGGCTGGGTACAGGGATTGAACCCGGGTATAGGAGCTCACATGTGCTAGGCAAGTGTGTTACTCCTGAGCCACACGCCTGGCCTTGAAAATCATTAAGCATGTGAAATCTGTGACTATATTCATAAAGGTGAAAAGAGTATGAGATAAGCTTCAGGGTGCTTCTCATTTTTATGAACAATACACGTTTGGACAGTATCTTCACATGTGAAACCCCAGGAAGGGTGTCCAGCGGCACCACACTGAGGCTTTTTAGTTAGCACACTGAGTGCTTTCATTCCTGCCATGCTGCATGATGGTAACAAACTGCAACCACAATTATATTCTGAAAAATTTCCAACTGGAAGTTATAGTAGATGACTTGGCACAGTACTTCTAGACAACATATGCAGAGCAGAAAAAAAGAAATTGCAATTTTTTGGTTCCCTGAACTGATAAAAGCTATACTGTTTTAATTGCAAATTTTCCATGTCTATGTCTCCAAACGTATTTTGTGAGGCACTAAATTGCCAATGAAAAAAGGGGAAGCATTTCAAGTCTCCCATAGCACACTGCTGTCACCTCTGCCCCACTCCAAGAGAAGCCTTGTCCTGCTGGGTCTCCAACCCAAGCAGGGCAGTCAGGATATGGTGAAACTGCATTATTTACTATGTTCTCCTAATTTCACATTTTAAACTCATAGTCATAATTAAGTAGTGATTTATGAATCTACTTTTTTTTTTGGTAGTATCAGGGATTGAACTCACGACTTTGAGCTTTCCAGGCAAGTACTTATTCGACTGAACTATCTCCCTGGACCCCAAATTTATGACCTTGTGAGAATTCCTAGTGCAGTCAGAATACAGTAACTCCTGAAGTAAGCAAACAGACACTAAGTCCTCATTTCTCATCTGAAAAGCAGGGATAATTCAACCTTTCCAAGAGGATTATTGTGAGGATTAATGGACTCATCACATGAACATCTGCATAAAAAGAAGTACCAGATAAGTAATATCTGTTACTTGAAACACCCTGAGATGACCAGCATGCAGGAACAATAATGTATCTTCTAGTGTGAACTAATTTTTAAATAGCAAAATTGTCAACTGATGATTGTATTATTATTATTTTTTTTTTTTTTGGCAGAACTGGGGATTGAACTCAGGCCTTTGCACTTGTCAGATAAGTGCTTATTCTACTGAGCTATCTCTCTGGCCCCCCTCTATTTTTGAGACAGGGTCTCGTTATGTAGTTCAGGCTGGCCTTGAACCTGGGGGAATCCTCCTGCCTCAGCCTCCTGAGTGCTGGGACTACAGGGGTGTGCCACCATGCCTGAGCACCTTCATTTTTAATCTCCATTTCTATGAAACTTCATTATGAGAAAAAAATTAAAATCCTTTTGTTTTCACTTTAAAATTTTTTTTTTTATTTTTTAGGTAAGGGTCTACAGGGGGTTCAGGGTCTCACTAATCGGACTTGTAGTGATCTGTCTGTTTACTGCCTCCCACATGCTGGGATTACAGTTGCGCCACCATGTCCAGTCTCAACTGGCATCTCAGCGTGCCCCAGGGGCACAGCCGTCAAGGCAGGCCAAGGGACTGAACCTCTGGCCCCTGTGCCTGCTTGCAGGCACTTTAATCGACTGAGTTTATGGCAGGCCCTCCTGGTTTGATTTTGTCATGAAAAATAAAAGTAAAATTCAACTTAAATTATAAAAGTTCATATATTAAAAATGAAAACAATGGCCGGGCAAATAGCTCAGTGGATTTAAGTGCCTGCAAGCAGGCGCAGGGGCCAGGGAGTTCGATCCCCGGGTCTGCCGTGCCAGCTCAGGCCCTGGGGTGCACTGAGACAGCAATTGAGATTGGCATGGTGGTGTGTGCCTGTCATCCCAGCTCTTGGGAGGCTGTAAACAGGTGGATCACTACAAGTCCAATGTAGTAGTGAGACCCTGAATACTCTGTAGACCCTTCCCTAAAATACAAACACACAAAAACCAAAAGAAAATCAAACCAGGGCCAGGGACATAGCTCAGTGCAAAGCACCTGCCTGGCACATGGGACATCCTAAGTTTAGTTTCTGGTACCAAAAACCAACCAACCAACTCACCAACCCAAATCAACAAATCAAAACATTGAGAAGCATTCTGTAAAAATCTATATATATTTACCTGGCCATTTCCAAGCAGAGATTCATCTTTCCCCATCAGAAAATAGGATCCAAAAAAGAAAATAAAGGCATGACTGAAACCCAGGATAGTCCAATAAAGAAATGTTTTAATGCTTAAAAGACGATTTTTACTAATATCCCTGTAAATTAAAAAAAGATATAGAAACACATTAGCAACCATTTATTTTAGCCATTAAACAATTACTACACTTTTATTTAAAAAACAAGGTGAAGTTTGAATTTAAGATGTTCTGAAAATATTAGAATAAACCCGTATTTACTAAGTTCTACTTCTATTACTATATACCTTTGGTAACAGCTGTAGTTCAGCTCCAATACACTTTCTGATTTGATAAAGAAATCTGGACAAGTCTTGCGGCAAATCTTATGCTATGAACTTAGAAAAGGGAAGTAATGCCGCATCTGGAAAACTGGCTGCCTCTGTAATTGGTACCTCTAGGCCTCTCCAGAGGACTGAAAGCTTGTCCTGACACGTTCTGAATCTCTGTGCTACTTCGTTCTGGGGACCTGGGACTAATAATCCACAACTTGCTTTGCAGCCAGTATTATACATACATTTAGCAGGGCCTGGGAGATGGCTCAGTGGAATAAGCGCTTTCCTGGCAAGCATAAGGGCCTGAGTTCAATCCCCAGTTCCGCAAGAAAAAAAACCCACAAACATACATTTAGCAATAGTGGGATGAGTTCACCTTTTGGAAGGTCTAGGGACTGCTGAACAGTGAGTAACTCCTTTTGTGTACATGAAATAGATGATTGGTGTGCAACAGTAAGTGTAAACCATACAACTGCCCAATGCTTTTGTAGGAGCAACGAGTTAATTCCCCAAACCAGCATGCTTATAATCCCAGCCCTTGGGAGGCTGAGGCAGGACTGCATACAGTGAGTTTAAAGCCAGTCTAAAATACATAGTGATACTGAGACCCTGTCTTAAAAACCAAACAAAGAAAACTGGAAAAATTATTGAAAAGTTTTTCATATTAAAAAACTTGAAGCACATAACCACACTTGCCTTAGTACAGTATCAGTTGCTGAGATACCCACACATATACTCATTGTTCAGGTATTTGTTGAACTTGATAACTACTGAATACACTTACAAACAGAAACACAGGTGTGATAAAAAATAAGGTGAATGTTTACATTTAAAAGACACAATGTCACTGATCTCCAAAATACTGACCCATGTTTGAACACACTCATCCCACTGCTCCTGCCACTTTCTTTTTCTTTGAGACAAGGTCTCAATAGCCTTGAACTCACTCTGTAGCCTAGGCTGGCCTTGAACTTGCAGAAATCTTCCTGCCTCAGCCTTCCAAGTGTGGGGATTACAGGCATGTGCCACCATGCTTGGCACAGGCACTTGCCACTTTCTGAAGCAGTTCAAAGAGTCCTCTTCAGGTGTGCTGGCTTAGCTATTTGATGTTCTGAATTGATTCAAAACATTGACCTTTCATAGTATTTTAATTCCAGCGAATAACCCGAAGTCACATGGTGCCAGATCTGGTGAATAAGGTAGATGAGGATACACTGATGTTTCTACGAGCCTACATTCCAATGGATGGCACCCAGCAAAAACATTTACCATATTTTTAAATCACGTCTTCAAAAGACTTCCTGATCTGCTTTAAAATGTGGTTAAAGTAGAGCCACAAGTGGTGAAACACACCTGTAATAATCCAGTATTCAGAAGGCGGAGGCAGGAGGATTCCTGTGAGTTTGAGTCCAGTCTGGACCACCTATGAAGTTTAAGGCCAGCCTGAACTATGTAGTGAGAACCTATTTCAAAAAGAAGGGGCTTTCAAAGTGAGGGGGAGTATATTTGAGGGAGATCAATGGCAATTTGTCTTTCAATGTATCTGTATCCTTCCATTACCCCTGCTATATGGACATTTAATACTGAAAAATACTTACCGATAGAGAGTAGGCTTGTTCTGTAATACATGAGGGTCTACATGCTGTTCCAAAAGACTATATATCAGAACAGGTAAGGAAGTAAAACAAATATTGTACAAAGTCAGGTACATGCTGTCATACAGTGTCTACAAAGAGAAATTGGTAAGAATTTTAGGATTTGAAATTATGTCTATACTTATGCATATAATTACAAAGAGGCATATTAAAAATAAGCATAAAATTAGTTTTTTTTTCAGTTTATACCAAAATCAATTTTAATAATTCCAACTTCTTTTTTAGATAAATGGATGTTACTAGACTTAAGTATTTTGTGGGAATTGGAATATTTTGTAGTATCAGTTATTTCTTAAATTACAGTGAAGTTAGATCTGTATTTTAAGATTTTCCACAATTTTGTCACTATGGTATACTATTACACAATTCTCCTACACGAATCCCAGGTTTCTTACCGTTCCTTTGACATGCACACATACAGATTTTTTTTTTTTTTTTTTTTTTTTTTTTTTGCGGAACCAGGGATTGAACTCAGGCCTTTGTGCTTAGCCAGGGAAGTGCTTATTCCACTGAGCCATCTCCCCAGCCCCCAGATTTTTTGTTTTAAGACAGAGTCTCATTATGTAGTTCCTGTTGGCGTTGAACTCACAATACAGCTCAGGCTGGCCTCAAACCTGCATGTGACAATCTTTCTGCCTCAGCTTCCCAAGTGCTGGGCATACAGAAGTGCGCCGCCACACCTGGTATGCTACTCATAGTTTTGTTCTCATGGCTTGGTCTCATCTAGATGCTATACTCTTTGCAAAGCCACAAATAAGATTCATTTTTCACAGTGGCCTAAGTCCTTGATGATAAGCGTTTTCCTCTGAAGAGTGCGAGTGTTGGTATTAACTCATCAGTACTTTGGCTCTGCTTCATGTATTGTTTTTATTCTTATTAATATTATATCCCAAATTACACCCTAAACTCCCTAAAAACCCAATCAAAAGTTCATGGTCTTCCAGCATTCTGTATTTTACTCAGGTGAAGAAACTGTTACAGGACTATCTATGTTATCACTATCTATGTATATACTTGGAAGGTAGAGCTACAAGTCACAAACAAAGGGGAAAACAGGGGTTTAAGGACAGGAACAACTCCTGAAAAACTTCATTAGGCTCTTTTTTCAATAAGTTAGATCTACTGTGTCCCTCAGTTTGAGGTATGTAGCGGTATGTGAAAAGTGTGTTCAGATAGAAGCATAAATCTAAGTTATGGTTTAGTCACTAACCCTGTTCTGTGATTCTGGACAAGCTACTTCATTTCTGTAGATTTACCTTTCTTCTTCTATCAAACACAATAGCCAAACAGGAATGGTGATGTGCGACATGTGTACAGCCAGAGACCAATCCTGTGCTCATCACAGTGACTGCTAACAAATGACAGTATTTTCTCTCTGAAACTAGAAGCTTGGAAAATTTTTCAATATGGCAATCCCAAGTTTTTCTACTAATTGTTTAAGGATAACTTGTGGGACAAAATTGAGATAATCCTTGGACTAAATTACTAAGGTTCCTTCCAACTTTAAAAACAAGAGGAGTCAAAAATCAGAAGGAAGTGAACCTCTTGTCTAGTAGCTAGTTTGGTCAGCTTGATATGGATTCTACAAGATATTACAAGTAAGCTGAGATGGCTCAGTGGAATAGGTGCTTCCGTGGCAAATGCAAGGGCCTGAATTCAATCCCTAGTTCCGCCAAAAAAAAAAAAAAAAAAAAGTCATTTTCCCATATACTGTTGAGTTTTTGATATCAACTTTTAAAAAACTACCCAGCATTAAAATATTATGTTGCTATCTATATTAATCTCAAATGGAAAACTGGAATATTATGAATGTTATACTGATTGGAGAAATTTTATTTACTTTGTATTACAAGACTATGGGAAATAAAAAAGTCCCTTTAAATATCTATCAAAACCTGAAGATATATGTATCTTCTTCTAAAAGAACAAAATATAAGCTTCTATTTACTTACTTGTTGAGAAAACAAACAGTAGAACTGATATAAAAACTGAGGTGTGATAAAGCACACATTCTGTAAAACAAGATTATGTGGTAAATAATTAAAATTAGTTCTAAAAGAAAATTTTCTAACAATTTTTAAACATCTAGAAACAGTTCATATAGTAAGTAGCAGATCTTCCCATAATGACTTGCTTAAATAGAAAAGTAGGACTCTTGTTTTGTTAAAAATGTCTAACAGCACTGTAAGGAGCAGTGCAGCTATCAGGAAAACAATAACAACAAAAAAACCCTTCTATCACTGCCAACCAATAGCACAATTTTGAAAATGTAAGTTTCTAACTCTTGTTCAAGATTTTTTATATATGGTATTCAATAAGTAAGATTAAACTTTAGGTCTATGACAGCTTTACAATACCTATTACCCAAATATCTTTGTCTGGTTTTGTTTTCCTACGAAAGGGTCTCATTATGTAGTCATTATGTAGTCCAGGTTGGTCCTGAATTCAGTATATAGCTGAAGCTGGGCTCAAACTCATGGCAGTCTTCCTGCATCAGCCTCCAGAGCACTGGAATTACCAGCATGCTGGCTTCAAAACATTTTTCTATCTCAATATACTATTATAAGGAAAAAGCTAGACCAAAAACTTGGATGAAAACTGCTACATCATCCCATAGTTACATGTAATCTACTTATGTTCTTCCAGTGTATTGTGCCATAAATTACAGGAATCTAAGCAATAGGGGATATCTTAAATATGTCTTGGCAACAGGGGCTCTTAACATGTGCTCCACCGTCTATGGCCTTTTCCAAAGGGTCCAGAGATAAAACAGCATTTTAGCACCATTAGCTCCTCTGTAATCCTAAGTATTTTACTAATGGGTCACCTATGGTGCAACACTGGTTAATAACTTCTGACCAAAAACATCATGCTGGAGTCAAAGTAGAACTTACTACTGGTTCAAGAGAAAATAAAATCACATTTATTGTGGTCCAATTTATACAGAATAAAACACCAAATTTAAGCAAAACATTTGATGTGCTTGACAGATCCATACACCACCACCATTGTTATAAAATAAAGAGAATTTTTCCATCAGCCCTTCAAGTTCTCTTCCATCTCGCCTCAGCTGGTTCTACTATCTGCATCCCTAGCCCCAGACCCTTGGTTGTGTTGTGCCAGCCAGTATTCACTACATGTATTACAAAATCACATTTTTACTTACTTATTGAAACTATTGTTAAGAATAACTGTAAAGTCACAGCATTCCTTGAGTTGAAACTTCAAATTACTATATCAATAATTCTCAAAAAAAAAAAAAAAAAAAAAAGAAACTCACCTTATAAAAAAAATACTGTACAAGGGTAGCTATTCTGATATAATAAAAATGACCATGAACAAAAAGTAGTTTGGAGAGGAATTTAAATCTAGCTATTGCATAGTCACTGTTTCTTGCAGCCTGTCTTCCTTCTTTACCCATGATTCCTATAATAAAGAAGATAAAAGTTATGTTTGCTGATAGTAAGTGTAACTTTCAAGATATCTCTGTAAATATTTATAGTATTTTAGTGTCCTAACCTGGGCTTAGAATACTAAATCTACTCTAATAATAGTGAACCTTTCAGAGGTTTCAGTAGCAGCCTATTGTATAGCAGCTCAGAGCTGCCTGAAAGGTTATTCTATTTAAACACATAATATAAAGCTACAGTATAGCAGACATGCAACACCCAGAGTCCACCATAAAAATACACATACTTCAGGAAAAGGAAATAGTATGATCTTTTTCAACAGATACTTCACTCTCATATGGGGGACCCTAGAGGATGTTATACATCACAGAAAGTTGATTACACTGCTGGCTTTTCAAGAAAAAATTGAACTTCCATAGCAACAATCTCAATAACCAAGGTTACCCAAGCAGCAGCTCTCTGTACTAATAAACAGTTCAGAAGGTTTTTTTTTTTTTTTTTTTTTTTTTTTTTTTTTGAGACAGAGTTTCACTATGCATTTCAAACCTTGAACTCACTTTGTAGCCCAGGCTGGCCTCAAACTCATAGTGATCCTCCTGCCTCAGCCCCCAAGTGCTAGGATTACAGGTGTGTGCTACCATGCCAGGCCAAATGTCTGGAAGCTACTGGTCACTACTTTGAGCACCTCTTATAACTGTAGAGGCCAAAGGTAACTTGTATTAATCTCATGTTTCAATACATTTAGTATTAAAATATTTGTGCAAGTTTTTCTTTTCCTGAGATGGGTATACTTTTTTATATACTTTCCTTAATGAGAACCCTGTATTTTCAATCAAAATATAACAATAAAAATACAGTTAATGTAAAAAGTAGCAAGCAATAAATTTCTGATAGATTTCTATAAAATAGTTTTTTTAAAAGAAGTATTTAGTGCAGGGTCTACAGGGTCTCACTACACAGATCGGACTTGTAGTGATCCTTCAGTTTTCAGCCTCCTAAGCACTGGGATTAAAGGGGTGCCACCATGCCCGGGAGGTGGGGGGATGGCTTGTGAGGCCCTGTGCTCTGCCTAAGCAGACACTTGAGTCCGCTGAGCTATCTGGCTGGCCCAAATAGCTCTGATTTCACTAGTTTCAATAAATGTAAAACATTAAATTGAATAATCTGAACCTACCAAAAATCAGTAAATTTAACTGTCTAAAAACTGTCATGCAAAACAACAACAACAACAACAACAAAACTCACACAGAAAAACCCTGTTATGCATAAGCTACAGTGTGCTTTCAAAAAAAAAAGGTGTTTTTTTTTTTTTTTTGGTGGAACTGGGGATTGAACTCAGGCCCTTTTGCTTGCCAGGCAAGTGCTTATTCTACTGAGCCATCTCCCAGCCCCTAAAAACAATAATTTTGAAATAAATTATAGAAAAATATATAAACTAAAATCAGTGAATCAATTAGCTGGAAAATGTAATTTTGAATGTTATAATCATCCTTTCAATTCCAAAAATCCCAAGTCTGTATCTTCTTAGAAGCTGTATTTTGCATATGTATATGTATAGTGGATGTATATGAAATGTAGATGAAGTGAGATTTGTCTGTAACCTGTATTTGTTACTTACTGGACACAATTTATAATATATATCTTTATCAATATGTTCAGGTTTTTTTTAGAAGAAAATACGTAATTGGGCACATAACTGCAAAGTCATTTGGTGCAGTTAAAATTTTTTTGTGCATAACAATGCAGGGTGTACCAATCTACTCTCCTATTGACAAGGTATAAAAATCATTTGCTAATCTGTCCCTTTGCCAAACTGAGTTTAGCAGCAAGCTTTGTAATTGTTGCCAGTCTGATAAATAACTTCAACTGGCACTCTTTTGACTGTTAAGAGATTGAACACTTTTCTATAAACTTAGTATTCATTTTGGATTTTTCATTTTATAACAACTAATGGTTCACATCATTCTGCCTTAAGCAAAAGTAGAAATTAGAATAAAGCTTATTAAAATCAGAAAATTGCATCAGCTTAGGCAGAGCACAATGGTTGGGGATAGATCCCTGGCATGGGGTGCTGGCTCCGCCCCTGGGGCACCCTGAGATGGTGACTGAGACTGGGTGTGGTGGCACATGCCTGTAACCCCAGCACTTGGGAGGCTGAAAACAGGAGGATCACTACAAGTCCAATCTACGTAGTGAGACCCTACAGACCCTGTACTAAATTAAAAAAAAAATCAGAAAATTATCTGAGATTTTGTTATTATTGTTTGATGTAATCTCTTATCTCTCACTGTTCTTGAGGCACTGTAGAATCTTTAGTTTCATGAATAAATTTCAGTAGTAATTTATAATAAATGAAGATTACTATGTAAATCATAGATTTAGCTTAAAAAGAGTAGCAAGGTGTGGAAGTACTTTCTAAGGTATAAAATGGCATATAAAAGCAGCCACTTTTATTATGAAGGAAAACTCACAAAAATGGAATTCACTACTGTGTTCAATTCCTTTAAAATTTGCAAGTAAATATCCTAAATGGTGGGCATAACTGTAACAGATTTCTGATGGGAATGTATTGCAATATACTCCATTTTGCATTTAATTGTTGCGCATATATTTGACACTGTACTTTAAAAAGAAAAATTTGAAGGGGCTGGGGAGATGGCTCAGTAGAATAAGCACTTGTCTGGCAGGCGCAAGGGTCTGAGTTCAATCCCCAGTTCTGCCAAAAAAAAGAGAGAGAGAAGAGGAGGAGGAAGAGAAGGAAAAAGAGGAGGGAGTGAGGAAAAGGAGAAGAAATGAGAAAAAAAAATTGAAACCAAATGACATTGTACTTTAAAAAGAAAATTTGAAACCACCAAATAATTATATTATCAACTTCAAAATTTCAGAAAAAAATCAATCACCTATGCCAACATGTGCTTCCTGAATCATGCTTACGTCATTAGCACCATCACCAACAGCCAATGTTATGGGTTTCTCTGGTGAGATTTTTATCAGTCTAATTACCTGAAACACATACAATAAAATAGGTCTTTATGAAAAACTTCAATTTTCTTACATTTGTGTGATGTTATTTATCTGAAATAACTACAGAATTAAATACATTTAATTAAAAAATTGTGGAAAAATGGCACTTAATTGAACTCTTTCAAGTATACCTTTTTTTCCCTTAAGAAATTGTAGCTTTTATTTGATAGAGGAAAGCCAATTGTTTTCTCTTGTAATAAATGCAAACTGAAATTTTAAAAAAGCAACCAGTATTAGATCAAAACCTATTTCTGTGGAATTCTTGAATGAACATTTATTAACTATCTAGTTTTATTTGGCCTCCAGTTTTAGTCTCCAGACTGGGTTACAATAATTATAACAAAGGCACTGTAACAAAATCCCATGAAACCAAAGAATAACTGGATGTCAACCTTATTAGATGTACATGTGAAACAATCGGTAGTGTTTGGATGTTCATTATAAAGGATGTTTGTAAACAATACAGTTGAAGACATCAAGTTCCAAACGTGAAAATTACAAAATAAAAATCTGTATATACTTTCATTTAAGTAGCTGGAATTCAAATATTTCTTATGTATAACTTCACAAGGGCCAGGACTATAGCTTAATGGCACAGCGCCTCCCTAGAAAGCATGAGATTGTGAGTTCAGTTCCTGGTACAAAATCAAAAAACAAAAAACCCTTCACAACAAAAGTCCTAATTATCACATGATAGGCACTTTTAATAAAGAATTATCAAGTCACAAAAATGTAACAATAAGCAATGATCAATAGAACTGCTTCAAGGTGCAGATGAATTCAAGTTTCCTAGGGTCCTTCAGTTATTAAGTAACTAATTTGGGTAATCATAAATTACTACAGTTCAAATTTATGTTTCAGCAAGACCACAGCTGCTAATATAGACTTTCTAGGTCATTATGAATTTCTGAAACTTGAATATTTACTCAGAATTCTCAAAGTCTCACAAAGTCTCTCATGTACATGGTTAAAATTCATAGCACAAAAGTGATCAATTACTAAAGTAAGAGTCATATATCACATGTCACCAAATAAAACTATGGAAGGCATTTATCCTAGAAAAATACTTTTAGATCTAAGTATCTTTATGGAACTCTTCATGACATGTACATACTTTTGCTTTCTGCAGTGGTGCCATACGACAGCATAATACAGCTGAACAAGTTCTGCAAACTTCCATAAATAGCTTTTCATGCTCCCTGAGTGCAAGAGACAGGCTGGTCCCATCCACTACCAACCCATGCTGAATGACATGATCCTCTTTAATTCTAAAAGAAAATATATTATCTGTAAGACATTTTGAAGCCATATTACTTATATTCCAAACAAAAGATTCTTACTGATAGTTTAATCACAGATTTCACTATTTATTATAAAACACCAGAGAACAGTCAGTTCTATTGCCTGAAGATTAAGATTTAGAAAAACTAAGAGTTACTGATATGATGAATAAAATAGATAATATTCAATTTTACAATGAAGTGATATACAGTAACTATATTTTCTAATGTGTGCACTGTAACACAATCTGAGGATATTCTTCCAAGCCAAACTGTATGAAGTTTTATGAAAACAAAGCATTTATCAGTTATACCTTTAGAAAATTGTAATTTAAAAATTAAAATTAAATGAAATCAAGAATGTTCAGGAAAATCCAAGAGCTTGCTTCAAAATATTCAAGAAAGCTGGGCCTGGTGGTGTGTGCCTCTCATCTCTATAATCCCTGGTTGAGACAGGAGGATCACTGTGAGTTCGAGGCCAGCCTCAGCTACAAAGTGAGCTCAAGGCCAGCCTGACCTGCACAGTGAGACCCTGTCTCAAAAGCCATATGTGCACGCGCGCGTGCGCGCACACACACACACACACACACACAAGCCAAAACACATTTAAAAAACAGACAAAATGTCCAAGGAGGGAGGAAAGGAACGAAGGAATCAGTACTGTATCTCTCAACAGTGAGCCCATAAGGACTACAGTAACAGCGCCTACCGCCCCAGGATGGCACATGAGTACAACACCTCACTTGAGGGCATCTGCTACAAGTGCTACACAAAGCACTGTCTGTTTACTGGCAGCTGGGCAAACTGTCAGTTTCCAGGAAGAAAAAAGGTACCTAGACCAGTATGTAAGTTAACCATGTCACTAAGCACACTAAAATGTGCATGTGACTGTCCCTTCACCGACCAATACTTCTGGTGCAAGCTCCTCTATGTCACTGAAAGCCAGCATGTGAGGTAGTCTTGCAGTACATACACCACCAAAATACAAACTGTACAAAACTATAGATCACTGTGGGAAAATATCTGTGTGTAGCTTTCTCCCCTTTTTGAAGCAGACTGGCTTTAAATTTACTATATAGCTTAGGTTGGCCTCGAATTTGTGACGTTCCTCCTGCCTCAGCCTCCTGAACATGGGGATTAGAAGACTTTAAAAAGCTCATGTAAACTGGGTATAGTGGTGTATACATGCAATCTCAGCACTTTGTGAGGCTCAGGCAAGATGATTGATTACAAGTTCAAATCCTGCTTGGACAACTCAGACCTCGTATCAAAATAAAAAAGGGGCTGGAAATCTAGGGCAGTGGTAGACCATTCCTGGATTCAATTTCCAGTGCCACAACAAAACAAACCCTTCCATATAATTACTGTTAGATGTGTGTGTTGTTACTAATCACTGCATCTTCTTTATAATTTTCAGTATTTTTCAAGTAAGTATTATTTTTATGATCAGGAAAAATATTTTAGAAGGCATAAAGTAAATGATTTTAAGCATTTAATTCCCATGTTTAGAGACTTCGTCTTGATATTGTGGCACTGGATACAATGAAGCAATCAGGACGGTGCTGACAGTGCTCCTAAACTGCAGGATAATTACCTAGGTCAACTGCCTTTTTATATTCAAGCAAGACCTTTCTAGTAGCAGTAGTGTCTTTTGAAAATATCTCTCTGATGAAATCTAGACTTTAGTACCTTATTAGTATCTATGCAACATATTCAAATACAGCACTGAACACACATTAACAGTTGTGGCCTTGTCTTTGGGGTTTGTATCCTCTGGATTAGTAAATCACAAGCCTGCAAATGACTACTTCCTATAGCAGACCTTGTAAGCATGCACACAGGCAGGCCTGATGTCCACACTAAGGCACTCCTTAGTTTAGTATGTTAAGACCATAGTAAAGGTAGCAAGTATATCTGATCTCCCTGTAAACAGATTTACAAAAAAGAATTGAAGTATAAATTTTTATGAAATAATATTGAACAGCAAAATGCAGATTAATATCCTGGGTTGCTTGTCTGACTAGATCAGGCTCAGCGAGTATTTTCTGTAATGATCCAGATAGCATATATTTCAGATTTAGGTTTTGTGGGCCATGAGGCAAAATTGAGATGTTATATAGGTAGTTACACAATGAGAAAAGAAATTTCAACAAAGTATTTATTGACTAAGTTCAAAATAAAGTAATAATTGAGTACTTTTTAAAAAGCAGTAGAGGCTGACTAATGGTAAGAACTGGAGATCCTTTGGGGGGAGAGTATTTTCCTTAAGTGGGGTTCAAAGGTAATGTTTCCTACCACCAAAATCATCTCAGAGGCAGGAATGTAGCTCAGTGGTAGAGTACTTGCCTATTATACAAAGCCCTGGTTTCAATCCTAGTACCACACGAAAAAATTTAACTGTAAATGTTCATCTGTGAATGCTAATGACTGGACTCCTGTGAGTTTTACACTTTGGTATCTGGCTGAACAATAAAGTCCTTCCATTCCACTGTGTCTTAAAATTGTGATACTAAAGCTGATTTTTCTTCTCTTGGTTTGTTATGATGGCTATATAGTGACAAAACAAAATAGTAAAATGTCACAGTATGGTGCCATATGTAGCAATTAAAACACTGCTGAGCTGTGACTACGTCTCTGTGGTCTGTCATGCACAGGTACGCAGCGGTGCAATGCAGGTGGTCTCTGCTGCAGTGAGGCAACTCAGGAGCCACAGCGGCAAAGCAGTCACTGACGGTAGGTCAATGAATGAGGTTACGTCTAATCAAACTTTATTGGTACTGAAATGTGAGCTTCACATCATTTTGAAATCATGTAATAGCCTTCTTTGGATTATTTTCACCCATCAAAAATGTAGAAACTACTTTTAGCTCATGCAGTGTAAAAAATGACCCGCAGGCTACATGACCCACACACCACTCTTCTTACCTTCTGGCAAGCTGCCTCAACTGTTCAGCACATTCACTGTCTGACTTCTGGTGAATAAGTTCAAGGATGTTCATAGTTCTATGAAAATGTCCACATGACAAACTCACACTAACAGCAGTTTCATATTTATCTCCAGTAAGCACCCATACTTTGATACCAGCCATCCTCAATGCTTCAATAGTTTCTCTAACTTTATCTTGTAGTCTAAAAATCAAACAAACAAAATTGGCTGAAAAGAATACTTTTCTCACTGTATGTTAACTTATAAACTACACAGCATAGGTACAGTCAAGTCAGGACCTGACCTAGGTATGTTATTTTATAACAATACAAATGAAATTTTCTTTCATTTAGAAGAAATAAGAATAAACCAGTAATCATCTCAGCCACACAAAATCAAGCAGTTAAAATCTACAACTTTAGAGGGCCAGGGAGATAGCTCAGTAGAGTACATGCTCATCTAGCAAGTGCAGGGTCCTGAGTTCAATCCCCTATACCGCAAAAACAAAACAAAACAAAAAACCCTACAACTTTACATTTTCAGAGTGTATATGCAAAGTTGATTTTCATGAAACCAAATTATGCAGTCCTTATAAACTCCTAGTTTGTTTTATTTTTTTACTGTACCAGGGACTGAACTCCGGATCTTGCTTTTGCCAGGCTGGTGCTTAAGCTGCTGAGCTATCTCCCTAGCCCCAGCTATCTCTCTGGCCCCTCCTATTTTATTTGAAAGTCTTATTATTATTATTTTGGTGGTGCTAGGGATAGGATTAAAGGCTATAATAAGCATGCTACGCAATCACTCTGGCACTGGAATATGTTCCCCACTCTTATGAATTCTTAAATTTCAAGTCAAAGGAGATTTCTGTCTTCCTCTCAATAAGGAAGTCTCACCAGGAATATAGCTCAGCAGCACAGCACCTGCCTGGCAAGTTTGAGGAAATGAGTTTGATTCCCAGTTTTAAAAAAAAAAAAAAAAAAAAAAATTGATTCTGTTACGTGTCCAAAAAGTTCTTCCTGGAGTGAGTTAATACGTGAGATATGTTTTATAAATAAGTATTCGTAGATGGATACAGAAGAGAAGGCTCATCCAGGCAGAAGGGAGACATTAGCCAAGGAACACACAGAACAGAATGGTTCTCACTATTGCTGGTGTGCAGTGGAGAAGACAATGGAAGCCAAGGTGGGAGGTGAGGCTGGAGAGCTAAGCAGAGGCTTGACATTGCCTTATAGCACCTAAACTGAGGAGTACCCTCACTAGTCAAGACTACAGAGAGAACTACAGTTAACAGTTTCTCTTTTACCTACTTCAGATATCTTGCTTGGACAAAATAGTACATACTGACTGGGAAAAATGAAGGCTTTAATTATCTTGATTTTAAATATATTAAGTTGTTATGGAACGTTAACAACCAGAATTTGTCTACTATATCAGAGCACTCGCCTAAAAATACAAGTAAAGTCATCCTGATTGTTTATCTGACACTTACCTGTCTTCTACTGCTGTAGCCCCAAGTAGTATCAGATCCTTTTCTATGAACTGGAAAGCTTCAGCCAGTTTCTCTTCCCGCTGCTGCAAGGCAGTCCTGGCTTCAAAAAGGCGCCTGTCTACTTCTTCATACTCTTTCGGTGTAAACTGTCTATAAGCTATACACAGAGTTCTTAACCCTTTCTAAAACAGACACAAAAATTAAACACAAATATGAAAACCAAGAAGTTACTGAAATAAATTGAGGTCCCTGGATTCAATTCTTAGCCTTGCAAATACAAACCAAATATGAATTCCCTTAAATTGAGAACCCGTTACCAAAAATTCAATTATACACAACTCAAAAAGTACTATCACTTAGTGGTAGGGAAGAAATGAAATGTTACAAAGCCCTAGAGATCTGAATTATGGATCACATTATCCAGAACCCTTTTTGATCACTTCCTAAAAAGTTGCTTAAAATGATTAAGGTTATTGAACTGTATAGTACAAGGGCCTAGAAAGAACCATAAAAACTACCTCAAGACTATCCAGAGACAGACAGCACTGGGTTCCAGTAACCTGTCTTACTACAGAAATCCAGTTTACCTAATTTGTAAGATTTACTTTTTTAAGCAAAGGAGAACATAATTTCCTATGGGTTCACTGTATGACAAAATTTGTCCTTCAAATGAAGAAGTTGGGAGGGCTGGCCAGATAGCTCAGCAGATTAAAGTGCCTGCTTAGGCAGATGCAGGGGCCAGGGGTTTGATCCCCAGCCTGCTGGGATGGCCCCGCCCCCAAGGCGTGCTGACACTGTGAATGAGACTGGGTGTGGTGGTACACACCTGTAATCCCAGCACTTGGGAGACTGAAAAAAAGGGGATCACTATGCGTACAATCTGTGTAGTGAGACCCTGTAGAGTCTATATTAAATACAAGAAAAAAAATAAAATAAAATAAAAAAATAAGAAATTGGAACCAGGGATATAATTCAGTGGCACAGTGACTACCTGGCCAAGTGCGAGGTCATGAATTAGACTCCCCTATACCAAAAAAGCAAAAACAAAAACAATAAATGAAGTCTACAAAATACTATCAAACAAATTGTATTTTCTAGAGCAAAATTTTTAGGGGGAGATAATACTTGGGGTAGAACCCAGAGGCATTCCACCACTGAACTACATCACTGGTCCTTTTTATATTTTATTTTAAAACAAAGTCTAAGGGGCTGGGGAGATGGCTCAGTGGAATAAGCGCTTCCCTGGCAAGTGCAAGGGCCTGAGTTCAACCCCCGGTTCTGCAAAAAAATAAAAAAATAAAACAAAGTCTAAGCGGCCCAGGCTGGCCTTGAACTTGTCATTATTCTGCCTTAGCCTTCTAAATATCTACAACAGGGCCAGGCATGATGGTGCATACCTACAGTCCTAGCGCTTGGGGGGCTGAGACAGGAGGATCACTGAGAGTCTGAGGGCTACAAAGTGAGTGCAAGGCCAACCTGCACTGCACAGGAGACCCTCTCTCAAAAAGAAAAAAAAAAAAGCTAGAATTATAGGCATGCTCTTAGGGGCCGGCTCCACTGAATGATTATCTCTTCACCAGTGAATTGGAATTCACTCAAAATTTAGGAATATATATTAGATTACATAATTCCAGTGGGCTCAATTTTTTCTTAATCTCTGAAAGTTGACATCTAAATCTAAAGGCTTTGATGTTCTTTTTCTGGTTATTTTCCTCAAAAGACCCATAATAATGTTCTAATATGAAAACTAAGAAGGGAAGATTTTTAAAAAATACATGTCAATATTTAGCAGATATTAATTTATTTAATACAGGGTCTTGCTATGCACTTTGGACTTGTAGTGATCCTCCTGTCTCAGCCTCCCCGGTGATGTGATTACAGGCTGTGTGCCACCATGCCCAGTTTCAGAGTCAGCAGAGCGCCTGGGTTCTGGGGCTAGCAAGGCATGCAGTACCCAGGATCAAAGCCAGGTCCTTGTGCTTGTCAGGCAGGCGTTTGTTTAGATCACAGAGCTATCTCCCCAGCCTTTAGCAGATCTTAAAATACAGTAGTGGCATTTCTTCACCCCCAAAAGGAATCCTACAACCATTAGCACACTTGCTTGTTTTCCCTTTCTCTAGTCCCTGGCAACCACTAACCTATGCAATTTCTTTTTCTTTTTCTTTTTTTGGTGGAACCAGGGATTGAACTCAGACCCTTGTGTTTGCCACGGAAGCGCTTATTCCACTGAACCATCTCCCCAGCCCCTGAAATTTCTTTTCTACGAATCTGCCCTGCCTGGATATTTCACACAAATGTGGTACTATGTAGGCATTTGTGACAGGCTTCTTTCAGTAGTCTTTCCAAGGCTTACCCTTGTTGTGGAATATACCAGCACCTAATTCCTGTCAATAGCAAAGTAACATTCCATTATATGAATATGTTGCAGTATGTTTATCCATTCATCAACTGGGTGTGTGGGCTTCTTTATTTATGGTTATTAAGAATGACGCTGCTCAAGGACTAACTAATCAAGTAAGGGAAAGGAGATGAGCTAGAAAACATGACAGTGTTAAGCCATGCAGTTATATGTAAAAG